TGGTATTTTTATCAAAGCACTGGTTGATGACGTACACAGCTCCGCTCTGAGCTTATGTGCTCGCATGCAGGTCAGCTCCGGTGTGGTATTTTTATCAAAGCACTGGTTGATGAGGTGTTCCACGTGGGTACTGTGCTGAAACACTCAGGAGATTTTGGATCAAATCCTTTATTCAGCCCAAGATGTGTTCCAAGCAGATGCTGGCATACCTCTCTGGACCAAGAGGCTGAGCCTGGAGAGCCTGAGTGATGCTCTCAAAGTCATTTCTCACAATTCCTTACATACAGCATTTAGGTCCCAAAATATTGTCTTTGAAAACTGGAGGTAAGGAGGGGATTAGTTAAATGTGAAAAACCACCAGGCATGGGGCTGGGAGAGGAGAATGGGGTTGAAGTACAAATACTACGTGGTGTTTCAGATGAGTAGTCTATAAAATACGGGGTCTTGTAGTCTGTTCTGGATACCTTTTTGGTGTGGTTTCTTTCTGTTTGTTTGGGTTTTGCCCCTTTTTTTTTGTTTTCCTTTTTTTACCCAGAGGAAAACAATATTAAAAAATAGAGTACAGAGCAGTAGTATTATCTGAAGACCTGGTAAGTTGAATAGTCCTTAATAGGTCAAATGTGGGAAACTGGGTGGTCTAAGCTAAAACTGCCACCAAGGGGAAGAAAGACATCCCGTTTGTAGGAGAATATAATACATGAGCGATGAAAAGATCTAGGGAGATGATGGAGGAATGCACTTAAGAGAAAAGGATGAAATTATGTGCAAGAAAAATGTGGATCGTATCAAGAGAGATTTTTTTGGGAGGAGAAGTTTTTCATTGGAGTAGCCTCTCATGAGAGAGTCCCTAATTCTTGGGGCAGTCAAAAAAGGCTCAAGAAAGAAAATACAGGGAACAGTGCGTTGGGAGGGAGATGTGTTTGGTCAAATTGGCAGGTCTCTAGGCCATAAATTTTAGGGAAACTGTTAAAATGTGAATATGGTCTACATTTTTTTGGGAATGGTTTCAAAGGTCTTTGCTGTTCCTTCTCTTCTACTACAGTTAAAGCCATTTGTTGGGTTGGAACAAGGAGGACCTGGCATCCAAAACCTAAGCACCCTGTGAGGCTGAAGGGGCTTCCCTCCAAGGTTGAGAGGCAGGCTTATAGTGAATCCTTCGTACAGTATCTCCAGCCCAGCTCAGATCACTCTTGCTTCTTGTGTTTGTGGAAAACAATTTTTCCTCTGAAAGTGCAATCCAAAATAGTTTAGTTTTCAGACAATATTGTGAAGTTGGTCCAAATGCTTCATCTTCCTCAAAGCCATCAGTAAAATAGGGATAGAAACCTGGCTTGGGGTTTGTCCCCAGTGGGGAAGGAACTGAGTGATGGATTTGGGGGTTTCGGCTCTCGGCCGTGGGGACGCATGCTTCCCCCTGCCCTGTTCCCCACGATCTGGTGGCTTTTGCTTCTCCCAGCACTTGGTGACCTCCACCATCCTCTCAGTGCTCCTGAGGAGCTGATGGGAAAGCGGTCACATCAAACGGAGAAGCTTTTTAAGAGGTGAACAGCTACAGGATAAGGCCTGAGCTGTCGCAGGGCGATGGGAGGATGGGTAGAGCTGTGCTGGAAGTGGAGCCGCATGTGGGATGACTTCTTGGCCTTTCTTTCCTGAAGAAATGCATGGTGAGGGGGGGTGAACAGGAACGATCTCTTCTCGGAGCTCAGTTGGAAGGATGAGGGAAAGTGATTTCAGCTGAATTGAATTGCTGTGGTGTAGCCTTAGCAGAAATCTTCAAAATCTGGTATTAAAAGGGCTGATTGGTTTCAGACCGGCCTCCTGCTCCTGATGAACTGCTTTCCAAGTTTCCAGTAAGTCCTGGAGTTCACCACAAAGTCTTGCCTGCGTAGCTTGGGGAGATGGAGCTTATGCGTGTTCAGTAACAGGGAATTAATTACTCACTGGCTTCCATATGATGTTGCATAAAGCTAAACGCGGTGGCTGGCGTGAGCGACCGACTGCTGCGGCGGCTGCGCTGGCGGTTGTGGCTGAAACTCTGTATGCTCTTGCCTTTGATGGTGCCATACGTTAATTTATTAAAGAAATGGGAAAAAAACACCTTCAGTTTTGAATTTGCACCACAAAATCATTGGTAGCAGCGGGCTGCGCTAAGTTAGTGAGTAGCTTCACTCAAACATCATCTCAAACAGGGCCCCTGTACTAGGCCCTGGTGAGGCCGCACCTCAAATCCTGTGTTCAGTGTTGGGCCCCTCACGACAAGAAGGACATGGAGGTGCTGGAGCGTGTCCAGAGAAGGGCAACGAAGCTGGTG